TTTGGGGCTAGTTTCCAAACAATCGTTTAAATAAAGATTACCTTTAGATTTTGAACTGCAGTTAATGACTATACGAACTTTAGTTGTTTCTTTATCTTCCCTAATAACTGCTCTATGAGGCATAAAATACTCATGCTCATCTCTACCACATTCCTCAATAACTCCATTTTGTTTTTGGTCATTTATTATATCCCTATACTCATTAGCAACCCAATCATTTTTATAAAAATCCTTTACTAACTCATCAAACCTCTTTCTAGCTAAAAAATAATTATTTCCTAATTCATCGTAACTAAACTTCCATAATAAATCAGTTTCATATCTCTCATTCACGAATTTTAAATTTTTCTCAAATTCATCTATCAGCGCTTTATCAATATCAACTACATTTAACTCTTCCTTTTTCTTTAATTCCTAAAGCATCAAGCTCCCATAATATCTGAACATCTGAAGCGGTTACACAAAAATTCGCTGAAACTGCAGTCTTAACATTTGGCTTGTAAACATCTTGACTTCCCTGTAAAGCAAAACCGAAAATCGTTGGCACGCAAGTAATTTCCTGGTTTATTTTTTCGAAAGCTGAAGCTTCAATAATCTGCCAAAACATCTTCATCTGCCCCAATTAATATCTCAATGGTTATATCACTGTCACAGCAGTCGGCTAAGACTAATCCGCGGGACTGCATAATATTTTGTACTTCTTCATTTGGAACAGAAACAGATGCCGCTGTAATAGTATCGGACCTTAGCACTTCAATTTGAATACACTGATTAGGGTTGTCGCTACTAGATAATTTTAATTCTGCTACTTCGTATAATTTCTCAGTAGGCTTTGCTGAGCCAAAGGAAAAAACTGACAACCTTTCCTTTCTAATTGATTTTAATTTTAAGCAATTGGCAAGGGCCTTCGTACACCAGCTTCTTTCAGAGCCATTATCGCATATATGCGCGTCATTTTATTCAATTTTGTTTTATCAACAGAGCTAACGTATACACTGCACGTGAGTAACAGCACAGATGATTTATGTATTCGGCTTGACCTTGATACTGAAGCATTGCACTGAGTTTGTTCGGCCTCACCGTTCTCTACTTTCGAAACAGGTTTATTTTGTTTATAAAAATGAATCATAGAATGATGAGCTTTTCCACAGAAACAATTTTTGGCTCTACACATTTTCACATTACACTGCGAAGAAAAACATTTGAAACAAAGGTTATTTTGCTTAATAATTTCAACCCGCTCATTTACTGAAAGCCTTTTAAAATTAGGACAATTTTTTGTAACGGGCGGTTTTGATTAGTTTTTTTACACAAAATACATGTTTGATCTTTTGCTCCAGATACATATACATTAGAAATATTTTTTGTAATTATAATTACGAAGTTTATTAACATTATTTGCATCGCCTCTTTTATTTATCGTTACCTGTAAATGATTTTGCAAAAGGGATTCTGGTTTTTGTTTACCTTTTGATGACAAATAAATATCGCATTCATCGCATTCACGACCTAAACTTTGGGGTTCGAACCATGTCTCTCCCTGTTTAACTGCTATATGGGTTTTTTAATTCACGATCAATTTCACTGAATATTTTATCCGAAACCATAAGATCACATAACGATTTAAAATCTTTTTAAATTTCTCAACTGACAATAATATTCAAAATTTGCACTTAACCTTGATGCAAACTGTACAAAGTTCTCATATGACAATTTTTGCGTAGAACGAAAATGATTTAAGCACTCTTGAGGGGTTGGTTGAAATTCCTTTAAAATCATGGACTTTAGTTTATCGTAATTATTAATATCTTCTTCCTTTTACATATACCATTAAATTAGTGACCTCCTCTCCCAAAATATTTAATAGAATTTCTGCTTTTAAATCTTCAGGTACTTGTTTTGTCCTAAAAGCCCTTTCAATTGATTGAAAAATGAGATTAAAGGATTCTGCTTTAGTAGGTACAGAAATAGTTAATGTTTTTATACTTTTAATTAAATTTTCCATATTTCGTTTTGAGTTGTCCGTCTCAACATTTGGATTTTGTAGCACGTCTTTTCTAGTGTTAGCTAAAGCTAATTCCACGTCTAGAGAAAGCTTTATTTTCTCTAACTCTAATCTAATTTCGTTTTCCTATTTTTGTTTCTCAATTTGTATTTTTTTTCCTCTAGAATATTATCAATAACATTTTGACAAATTCAGCATCATTTGCACAAACTTCTGAACTTTCTATTAAAGTTTTCAAAGTAACAATTTTCGCCCCGCTCGGAATTACTAATCCTAATTCCTCCGCGAAGAGCGTCAACTCGTCTTTTTTTAATCACTTAAGCGACTTCAGACTCATCTTAATTCAAAGAAAAATACAACCTTGAATTGACAGCTAGAACACAATGAGTACAAAAACGAACACAATCAAACTCAACACAGACACAATCAACTCAAATTATCAAGTAGGAACACCTCAATACACAACACTAATAAACAGAATTTAACACTAAACATTATTACAACAAACCAAAATTACTCACCACAATCTACACAATGGAACACCTTCACTTTCGATCGCCACACCATTTTTTCACACAAAATTCGATGATACACATTATTACCATCACATTCTCACCCCACTTCCTGACACCAAAAAAAATTTTCACCTCGTTTGTGAAGGGGGCAGAAATTGAACTCCACACTCATCAAAAGATCGACGCTACCTTTCAGGATAACACATTTAATTCCTACTCCCTAACATATACTATGATACAGAAAAACTAGCAAGATTAAACAGCGCCCTCTTACGGCGGGCAATGGATGGCGTAACAAATATTTTACATCATTTACTAGAAATATGCCATTAATTTTACGAAATAAATTAAATAAGTGGTAATAAAAACCTTAATCTTCCGAGAAACATAAATAGGAGGATAAAAATGTTAGAATTAAGTTTCTTAAGTACTTTTGAGAAAAATACTCAGCTAGAATTAAAGTTATAAATTAGATTTTGATGGATATTGTAGGCATCGAGGAAATTTAATTCATTACGTGCAGAAAATATTTCCATTCAGTAAAAGAACTAAAATTAAAAAGAAGAGTTAAAAGGTTAGTAATGATAAGTTATGGAATAGTTATTTATTTGTTCTTTTTGATATAAGTTGCTTCTTGTTCTTTAATGCGAAATAATAACACTGTGAGATTTAGGCTGGGGTGAGTTAAACTGATAAGAAAGGTTATATATTATCTCGGTAATTAAAATAAGAAATATGGTCTCCGAAATCTAAACAGGAATCAAGAAAGAACTAAATATGAACTTCTGTTAGGCGCTTGAAGACTGTGTGTCAGTCCTTTTCCACTAGAACTGAGTTATTAACAAAAAACGTCTTCATGAAATGAACTTTAATTTAAGTTGCAACTTTTGCTTTGCTTTAAGTATCAAATTATCATATTTCTCTTCCCTATAATAAAACAATATTTGTTGAACATTACAAATAAAGAATGTAAAAATTCGGTTATATTGTTTACTAAGTATTTAATGGAATGAATCATTGAAATAGTATTCGTTTCCTTCAAAAATCAATTAATTTGGAGCATTATGAACTATCTGAGTGCTAGACGTTCAAGACAGTGGTCAGAATCAGATTATCATAATTGACTCAACTGACTGACTAATTACTGTTGAAAGCAATTTCTATCTAAATTCTAACATACATATCTTTTATGAACAAGTTTAAGTTAAAACATTTCATTTTCTACCAGACATGTTTCGGTAAGACGTAAAAATAATCCTTAAGCATAATAAATTATATACTATAATGTATTAAAGAAAATTCTAGACGTTTAAATAGCTCACGGATATTCATCAAAACTTTTGGACATATTAAATAGGGCACTACATCTGTGGAAAATCCACCTACATCTATCATAAAATCACTCACGTTTACATAGAGTTCTCCAAAAATGAATTGTGGGGTTTTATGACATCTCTGTAAAGTATGGACTATGTAAAATGGGTTCAAAATGCTTTTATTTGATTTAGTCTAGAAAATGATTTTGCGCATCATGAAAATGATCATAAGCATGTGTTTTTATAAGCCATCATTGCGAAAATCCTTGTATGACAAATGAAAATACCCGAGACATTTCAGAAGTCAGTTTTTAGTATGGCCTAATAAGTAACAAGAATACTGGTTCTTTTCTCATTGTTGAAACAAATATCAACTTTAATATGTAGTACTTTAACCTGTTACAAACATTTTGTTCTATCTTAGCTGAGCGAATGGCAATGAAAGATTCTTATTCGCAGTTCCTTTTTTCACAAGGTGAAGAACAGTCTTTCTTTGCAAATCACGTGACAGGGATTTGAATCGTTGATTTCTAGAACAGTGGGTTGGTAGAAATATTTTGTTCCCATTGACAACATGAAATCTTAATCTTACACCATAAGACATGTTCATGTCGGGTTTTGTGAGAAATGAACTTTACAATGAAAGAATTGATAATCTTGACCACCTCAAAAGGAGAACTTTCCAGAATGTGGACTGAAAATGAATATCAGTACAGTTTCTGTCGTGTATTTAATAATGTATCAGTCACGTAATAATATCCATTTATAAGGTTATTGCTTGTAATGTGAATGGTGCAAATGTGAAAAATTTTATTTATGGTCTTTTTGAGAGAAAGAGTTCAATAAAAATACTTTCAATATCTTCCATATAATACTTATTTTACAGAAATCTTATGCTATCTTAGCTCTTATTCTCAGAAACCGATGTAATGTAATAAATTCATGTTTCTGTTTGTCCAAAGAATCCATCTATGCCCCCTTATGTTGATACTTAAGTTTATCCCTCTGCAAGTCATGAAGACTTGTTTTCCAAGGGAGATTGAAAAGTTACTGTACAACTGTCCTCACAGAATTTGAGCTTCTGTCATTATAAATGTTTGATCGCTCTTTATGATCATGTTTTCTATTTTATTCCTACTAACTATGTTAATTTCCTTTCTTTAGGAAAATATGTGCCGGCTTTGGCGTACAAAATTCATGAAGCCAAAAATTCTTCAAAGATTAACTTGAAAGGAATAGCCGTTGGAAACGGTATGTGTGACCCGGAAACAATGATGGATTATAGCGATTACTTATACCAATTGGGTCTAGTTGATCGCAAACAAGCTTCTGTGATGCGCAAATTATCAAAGTCCATAGTAAGACACATACGTAAAAAAGAATATTATGAAGCTCTTATTGAAATGGACGAGTTAATTATAGATCTGAATGTTTTGCCCTATAAGAGTTACTTTAAGAACTACACAGACTACAAATTTTATTATAATTTCCTTATGACAGAAACACCGGAAGATTTCGAACGATTTCGCAAGTATGTTGTATTTCCCGAATTCCGAAAAGCTGTCCATGTGGGGAACTTAACTTTCCAGGACGGGAAAATAGCACAGAAGTACCTACTGATAGACATTATGAAATCGGTGAAACACCAAGTGGCAGTCATCATGGACAACTACCGTGTATTGTTTTTCAATGGCCAGTTGGACCTTATTATTCCGTATCCATTAACTGTCAACTTCTTGAGCAGCATTCGTTGGAAATACGCAGATGAATACAGGAATGCAGAAAGAGTGATATGGACGCTGGACAATGGTGATGAAATTGCAGGTTATGTTCACAATGTTAAGGATTTCTATGAAGTATTGGTTAGAAATGCTGGACATGTTGTACCATATGATCAACCTAGAGTAGCATTCGACCTAATATCACGTTTCCTACTTCGAAAACCGTATGACTCCGAGACTCTTCTTTAAAGTTTTGTTGATGTTGCTCAATTAATATTACTTAAGAACACGATTGTGTAAAGAATTAGTGTTACTGTTGAGAAAAAATAGATATTTTCAAGTGTTTTTATTCAGCAAGTGTTTGCAAGTGTTTTTATTCAGTAAGTGTTTGCGAGTGTTTTTATTCAGTAAGTGTTTGCGAGTGTTTTTATTCAGCAAGTGTTTGCAAGTATTTTTATTCAGTAAGTGTTTGCGAGTGTTTTTATTCAGTAAGTGTTTGCGAGTGTTTTTATTCAGCATGAAATGCGTAATGAAATGTCGTTAAAAAACGGGAAACAAGTGTTGCCTTAATGAGATGTGTTATTAAAAAAAAAATCCAAATCCATTTGGATTAATCCAAACTGCTTACAATTTTAAGCAAAATGAAAGTTTTTCCGCTAAATTATTTTATGTATTCCTGTAAAAAACTGAATTTTATCTTATGCTTTTATTAATTCAAGTGTAATAAAAAAAATTTCTGTTTTTTAGAACGTTTTTAAAATACCCATCTTTTTAGTTTACCTCATTATTTATTTTATATATTTATTAAAAGGTCAATCATCATTATTTTTTGGCACATTACTTTATAGAACTTCTTAAAACCTTCTAAAAGAACTAAAGATTGAAACAGCTGTAATTTCTGTAACTGAATCGTAGCTTTCGAATAACTTATTAGTTAACAAATTTGTATTATTATTGATACATGGGCAAAATTAGCGAAGAAGAAAATTTTGAGCGCTTGATCATTCCGAAAATTTATTCGGAATTTATTATTCGGCAAGCAAGTTTACCGCACCTGAATTTCGCAGTACACGTGTAGGACTTTTTTGGGAGATTATTGGCATTCAAGAGATAAATCGTTGCTGGCAACATGTCGCCAGCAACGATTTATCTGTTGAACAATTTGCGCTACAAGAGAAACGAGCAGAGATGCCTCAACACCTTTTTGACCACATTGTCCTCAGCATGGGCAGGCAATGTAATCTTATACTGCAGGCAAGGACGAGCATATCCCCTGGAACTTCCTTGCAAGGCGCCTGTCCACATGAACGTTTATCGTTTCTCTCCAGTTGTGATAGGAGCTACTTTTTCAGTTAAGTGCATATTTATCCTTTTGATTCTTAATCTGGATGGTTTCGCTCGCTACCGTATTTTCACATCTTTGAGGATTCTATGATATGGTTCGGAACACTTCTGCACGAGGATACATTCGAAAACCCGTCTGGCCTTAAATTTTGCTCACCAGCATGTACTTTTGGAGCTACTATCATCTCGCGCAGCTAGCCGTCTGGCCTAGTTATATAAAAAGAAATGTATAATGATTTTAACGAGTGCATCTATTGCAATTTCTTGAAAACATTTAATGTTTTAATTAGCTATATCATTATTTAAGTGCAGTTTAATTTAAATAAATCAGATTAAATGTACAAAAAAATATTATTAAATATTGCATTTCTTTTTTTAAATGCCTAGTTTATTATTAGTAATAGACAGCTTAAATCTAAAAGATAAATATCTGACACTTTCCAAAGGCATAAAAGATATATATAAACACATTGGTACACGGAAGAGAAAAAGTTTCTATTTTGAGCAACAGAAACACATCGCTTTTAAATCCATGAGTTTGTAAATCAAAAATTCATTTATTTCGCACAAAATATGAACAAACAAAAGCCAAGTCGAAATTCAAAATTCAAGCTTAGAGGTGCACATATTCGGATGGAGAAGTAAGCGTGTTCAAAATTTGGTGACTCTAGGTGCCACCGTTTTTCTACATTGCAAGAAATGTACATATACACATGCATACAGATTCTTCATTATTTAATAATAGAGATATTTTTAGTTGCAATTTCAAATTGACTAATACGGGGATTTTCAGATCTGAAAGAATTTTGGAGCTTAACTTCTCTCGGCTTGTATTTGGAAATATGTGGAATTTTATCTTTTTTTTTTTTTTTTTTTTTTTTTTTTTTTTTTTTTTTTTTTTTTTTCATAAATCGCGACTCAATACCTAGTGTGAAAATTCTGAAAACTTCTGTAAAAACTTTTTTTTAACAGTTTCCCTCTTTTCTCCGAATGAAAACTTTCCTTTTAAATAAATATATTTATCTTTACCTTGCAGATTCAATTAATACATTTAGGTTTGGCAAATACAAAAATTCGCGAAGTAAAAGATGAAAGCAAAGGCATTCCAAAATGTTTCAAAATTAATCTATTTATCCTGTGTCCAAGTTAATCCGCTTGAATTAATCCGAATTATGCACTGCATTAGAATTAATCCATTTAAGCTTCACATTAAGATAGATTTGAATCACAGAACCTAGAAAACTTTTTATTTCGTTTAAAACATAAACAGAAACATTTTTATTTGGCACGCATAGGATATTTTTAGACTCGCTGTTGAATAATACCATTTTCATCTAAGAAATTTTTATTTCTGTTTAAGGAAACATTTATTTTATTTAAATGTACAGCCCTAAATTCAGAATATGAAATGTTCAGAAACATGAAATACGTGTGACTAAGCAGTTTTCATTAAACATCTACACTATAGATATTATTAAGTTTCATTAAAACATCTACATATATTTGTTTCATCAAGCATCTACATTTCATTTCATTGAACATCTACATTTATTTGTTTCATTAAACATTTAAATTGTACATATAATTAAGAACATCAGAAAGTGATTTATAATTGTTCCACAATTACAAATCACTTTCTCATGACTATAATTATATGCTCAATTTGAACAGAAAGATTTACAAAGGTTAAGCCTCAGACAAACAATTTCGCATTTTAATTATTCTCTATTCTTTATTAACTTACAGTTTACGAATAAAATAAAATGGAATAGTTTAATAATCGCATTAAAACGAGTAGCTTACATCACATAATGCTCAACGTTCCTGGAAACAAAAGTGCATATGAGGCTGCGTTCCAAGAAATGCAAACTGCGAAAAAATTACCAGCTGAATAACTATAAATAGGGATTGAAATACGCGTTAAAAAATAACGCTATTTAGATATGCATCGCTATTTTGAAGCCTTCTAAAAGTTCAAAAGGGCTTCCACCTTAGCCTTCAAATAATCGATTATCAAATGAAAATGCAAAATAACAAATGAACAGATTAAAAGGAAAATTAAACATAATTTTATTCAGTTCTTATTAACCTTATACGTAGCGTGAAAATCTATAGATAGGAACCCGAGCGGCCGAGCATGTAAAAGAATTAGGTTATTGAAATATGGCAAAGCACGCTGAACAATAAGGCAAAGGCTACTTGAAGGAATATTTTCGTGGAGGATTTATCTAAGAAAAACTCGCTTGTTCTACGCAAGAGATTAAATTCTGAAGAATATTAATCAACAAATACCCTCTACATAATATTTAAAATTTTTTCTTGGTGAGTAATATGCAGAGGTAATTAATTAACAGTTGCTCTTATTTAGTGAAATTGTAACCATTTTTCTATACATATATAAATAAGAAGGTTACATAAAATTTTCTTCTGTGTTATATTGATAAATATTCCAATTACCTGGAAATGCACAGACATTGTTTCAAATAGAATATGTTTCTTGAAGCAAAATAAACTGAAACTCGTTTTAAAAGCAAGTTGCGGTAATATTGGCTGTAGCAGATTTGACCTCTCGAAGATTAATTTGACCAAATTTTATGCTTTTTATATCAGTACTTTTGAGATTAACATTTGTACTTATTAACTATAAAGTATATCACATATAAATATATTCACTATTCTTTATATGCAGAGTTCTATTTTTGATAGTAGGAAACAGGCCATTTTGATAAGTATGCAGGATTGCTAGTTTCATATTTAGTATTATTTATACTGTTGCATAACATACGATTTATGCATTTGGTTATTTTTGTTGGGCCTATTGCTGATGGGTGCCTCAGACCGCAGTATGCACTCCCAATGGGGTAATTATGACCTTGCCAGGCATTTTGGCCCTTGCGAAAGAGCCAAACACATGTCGTGACCCAGTGATAGTATCACCTGGGAACTGTGTGTGTAAACAAAAATAATTAAGGACACTATCATGTTATTACAATAGTACCCCAAAATGCATGACAGGTTCATAAAAAAAGTACCAGCAATAGTTTTTGTATCGAAAAATGTCTTGCCAGTAGTCAAATTATTAGCATTTAAAGCATCTTCTTACGTCTAGATATTCTCTGATGTTCATATCTTGCTATTCTAATATTGTACATCTACTGTTTATTGTTTTCTGAAACGCTGAGAACACTTTAAGACCCATCTGACGCATTCCTTTGCTTTGTCTTTTAGTTTTAACCTAGGTTTATAATTATTTTCATCTTATTCGAAATATATTGCTACTATTATTAGGATTTCCCTTTGTGAAAGGTCTTTTGGAATCTAGTCAATTATTATTTTTGGAAACCGCTTTCTGGGTCTTCTGAGGTCTATTATTTTTTTTTCTTTTTCTTTTATTGCATTTTCAATATCATTTATATCTTCATTTTTTGGCATATGACTACAAAGCCGCCTTTCGTAATTTTTTCGCATTTATTTCTCGATTTCATAGAGGCATCATTCTGTTTAAATGTGTCCTTAATTTAATTTTTGTTTTGTTTTTTAGGGAATGTTAACAATTTTGGAGTATTTGAATACTGGGTCGCGTATTTACTTATTGTGTATCACTGTTCCATTTTGAGGGATTTTCTCTTTATGTTGGTCGATTGATGTTCATGCTATTGTTGAAACATAGCTTATGGGTGAAAGCTTTTGGATATGAGAATTCGGTACTTTCTTATTATACAAAAGATTGAATCTCTGATCAACCGACATATCTCGTCAACTCGTAAAGCGCGAAGATAAAAATAAACGTCACATGCTGTTTCCTAAGTATATTTTTGATAATCGTTATGACAAGGCCACATTTCCGAAATTTCTTTCAGCAATTCATCAAAAACATAATTTTTTTTCTATGTATTTTCTCCGCATGAATTCTGAAAGATATGATTCGAGGTGATGTCGAGCCGTGCCCCGTTGTATTTTATTACACCACTTTGCTAAACCTCACATTCTTTCCACATTTTGTTTGCGAACACCCGTTGTTGGATCTACAAACCCAAACATACGGTTGGTTCACAACAAAGAGACTGTAACTAATTTCTTCAAGTTGCTCCAATTCATATCCCTTCCAGCAGTCTGAATAGATCGTTGATCTAGCTTGCGTATGTTGAATAATTTTCTCTATAAGCGTACTAGCATCTCTATTTGAGATTTGAACAACAAAGCACTTGCCATCTTCCTGGCATATTCCTCCAAAAAATCACTGTTATGGCAATACTGTTGTTCTTACGTCGGACGTTCAGACTTTCATAGGCTTCAACTATTTTATTGCGACCGTCTATTCGGCCATTGAAACTTTGCATCAGATGTAGGGATTCCCGCGTATAATTTTTTCAATCAGTTGCAGCATTTTCACACATATTAAGCTGTTTATCCCACTATTTA